TAAAGTGTAAGAGACTGAGATGTAAAACAATATATCAAGTAGAGTTACTTTTTCCCATGTACACTGTAAATATTCTTTTGAATAACAATTAATTTATTCTACATAAAAAGACTAAGAAACTAATTTTAATGATGGATTTGGAAAACTGGTGCCTGTCACCAAAAACAGCTATTTTCTTGTTAACTCAGATATTTAATTGGAAACTAGAATGTCAAGCCAAATGTTACACATTATATTGACAACAGGAAATGCCTTTTAAAAATATTTAACACTGAATGGTATCTTCACTTAGGTTCTTAACACATGACTTCATGGCTTATACAAAGATATTTCTAGTTTGAAATTGACCCTTATTCTTTAAAGCAGAGTTTTGATCTATAGATTGACGAATAAAAGCTTGAAATTGCTTTCATGCTTATTTAATCATGTGAGTGGTTTTCTTAAATGTCAAAATGGAATTTAGATTATAAATGAATTCATTTGTTCTACCAATGACTGTAGTCATGCTTTGTGGCAAGTGTGGAATACTTTCATCTATGTTTTTCTATAATGAAATCAGAATGATAAATGCGGAAAGATCAAAGTAAAATGACTGACTTCAATTTAAGATGTTTTGGCATATCATTTTTTACATCAATATTCATCATATTGCTACAGAACAGAAATTATGTTAAGGCTACCTGGAATTCTGTATCCTCTTTTCGATCAAATTTATTCAGAGTTAGGAAACTCTATAGTATTTTGGAAAATGTGTGGGTTATCAAACTGTGTTTTAAATATTGGCTTTGCTATACATATTAGCAGTGTGACACTATTTCCTCTTCTGTAAAATGAGTTTAATTATACTTCATTTGCATGCTTGTTCAAAGAATTACAGATGCTTCATGTAAGTTTTTATGTGTAAATTCTAGTAACTTGCCCAGCATATATGCCCCCAAACCAGAAGATTCCACTATCATTATTGTTATTAATGCTATATACCCTTATATCAATCATAAATCATGTAGTCAACTTTAACAATTACCATACAATTCAATATTTTCAATCATTTACTTACTACATGATTTTTTTTGCAGTAAAAGTTAAACATTTTTTTAGCAATAGGTCTTTTGATACTGAAACTTAATATTTGATACTCAACGAGCTCAGATTACTAATCATTGTTCTCTATTCGCTTTAGAAACAAAACAAAACAAGACAAAACAACCCTACAAACTTCTGTATTATGTGAACGAAAATATAGAGCGAATGATATAAGGAGTAACATTTTAAAATTTTATTTACTGTTATGTAATAGAGTACATATTTTTGGAGTACAGGTGATAATCTAATACGTTCGCATAATTTGTAAAGATCAAATCAGTGTAATTGGGATGTCTACCACCTTAAATATTTGTCTTTATGCAAGAAACATTTGAATTAATCTCTTTCAGCTATTTTGAAATGTATGATAGATTATTATGAACCACGGTCACCCTACTGATCTATCAAACACTAGGTCTTATTTCTACTCACTATATATTTGTATTCATTAATCAACCTTTAAAAGTTACATTTTTAAAAGGTATTTGTAGCTTTTAAAATACTAGTCTATATATTTTCATGTAAAGACCTAAAAGAACAAGAGTAATCTTTTAATAACATAGTTTTAAAAAAATTTACTTTCAAAGAATTCTTGATAACCTTTCATACGTCATTTTGTGACAACTTTATTTAAAAACTATTGGTGCTTCAATTGTTATTAAGTTAAATGGTCACTTCCATTAATACTGTATATTAAAAGTGAAAATTATCTAAATATTACATTAGGGCATCTAGTGCCCCAGCGACCTCAGGGCACTATAAGACCTCAGGGCACTATTCAGTTTCCTAAATGGCATCAAATTGATTCTAATTTAATCATATGTGAGTTCAGTAATACATTTTGTTGCACAAATATTAGTAGGCACAAAGAATTTATTCTTAATTTTATTATTACTAAAATACTTTGTTTAGTCTGATTGTCTAGTTTTTAGCTAATCTGATTTGTTTAGTTAATCTGATTTTTCAGTGAGGTTTCCAGTTGTAATGGAATCATCAGTGTACCAAGAGTTAGAGCATTATCTGAAAAAATACATAGACCATGCATACAGATAACTTTAAAATATGCTTAGGCTGTACTACTATCAAAAAACCTTAAAATGCCATGCAAGTTTGTATCACTTGCATGAGGTGGATGTCAGACATGATGTTTGCCAACTTTGGGAGCCACTACATTGAAGATCATGAGAGCAGACATGATGCCATGAGCCCATATGAGACCAGCATTGTTTTCTGATACTGACAAGAGAAGGCATCCTCTGTGCATAAGTTTGCTAGTTAGGACCACTTGCTGAATGGTTTTCGTTCAAATAAAAGTTGCCACTAAAAGGATACTAACTTAAAGAAATTATCATTCTCTGTTGCTGGAGAAACCTAGCATATTCATTTATGATTATTTTAAGAGTCAGGCAAGTTATGACTTGCCTATAAATGTCTCTGCTATATATAATTACATTTTTCTAAACCTCAACTTGATTTCAAACTTAAGTCTCCATTCTGCCGAGTGGAGAAAAATCATCCCAGCCAATTCAGATTAATTTTGATCAGAAGTTCCTCTGTCAACTCAGGGATTTATTTTTCCCCTTCTCTTTTTCCTGGCTTGGATTTAAGTTCTGGAGGCATTGGTGGCAGGGAGCAGCTGATCTTCTCGCCTTTCCATGTTATTGTGTCCACTGATAACATCTGCATCCTGGCCAGTACTGGTCTATGTTGAAGCTACTGCATCTTCCCTGCCTTCCTGTGAAAGCAATTGTGTGTGCAGTTTTCTCTGCCATACTTGCTTCACTCTTGCCAGTGAATACACCCTACAGATACTTCCACAGGATTGCACCTGACACGCACTGGTGTGGACAACTCTGCGAGGCTTGCTGCCTCCCAGACTCCCCTTTAGTCAGAGATCCTCTCTGTGTTCCAAACCCATCTGAGGCTTTTATTGGATAAGGGACACAGTGTACATGGCCATTAGTATTGCCATATTAAAGGCCATACTAATATTTTAGATATTGCTGCCTCTTGAGCTCTCTTCTCAGCCTGTACAATCTTTACCTTGTAGATATATGTAGGTAGGTACATAGAAGTCTTTTATATCTACTGTTCAATGCATAAACTTTATGTTCAAAGTCAATCAGGCTTATGCTACTCAAAATGAAGGTATCTGAAAATAAAAATTCCCTTTCTTGCAAATCATTGTTTTTGTACTTAAAAATAATGTTCTCTTTTCTTGTTCAACACTAATGTTTCTGCTGTGATAACCCTGCCCTGAGTTAATGTATATAAAGATCTAGTCTGAATGGTGAGAGTCATAGGTTTATAAGACCACAACAACAATCAAATAATTACAGTGAATAAAAAGTCATATTGATTAATACATCAAAAGAATAACAACCTATGGCTGGTTGTTCTTTCATTGCTTTATCAGATCAAGCCCAATGTTTGAAATGGATAAAAGAATAGTGAGCAGGGTGTCTGGATGAGAGATTCTTTTTCCTCTTGCTTTACAAAAATAGTGACAATTTTTAATACTCCAATATATATGAAATGGTACTGATAAATAAAATTTCAGAATTTAACTCAGAATTCAATCTTGCAGAGAAAAGAACTTTAGTTGAAGCAATATAGTATTAAATAATTGTTTTAAGAGTTTGAATTTTAGAAAAGCTATCTCGAAGAGGCAGTTAGTAATGATAAAATTGACTAAATGTGAGATTTATCTTGTCTTATTGGGGTAGTTTTCTTAGGAACAGCACTCATTCTTTACTTCAAACCTGTAATAGCTTCTTCTTCCTTTTCCTTATAAAATTTGAACAATTCAGCACAGCACTTAGTGACAACTGGGACCTCACCTGAACCAGTAGTGTTTTCAGGCTTTGCCTTTTCTCTGTGTACTTTCATAAGTCTGCCCCTCAGGGCCCATTGAGCCTCTGCTTTCCTCTCAAACACATTGAATTTTTCCAGCTGCACAAACTGAGACAGCATATTCCCCTCACCAGGAGGTGCTGCCTTCCTCACAGTGAATGAGCTACTCCTTTCCTTCCATTCTACCTCGTATCTCCCTCAGTCTCTGTCACTGCCCCCTTTCCCCACATCATAAGGAATCTCCAGGCTCTCTCATAGCTTCCCTCAGCTGATCACTAAAGTTAACATATATTATGCATATTTATGTAGTAAAAACAGGACTAGACACAGAAGATTAAAACTTGGAGTTTAAAACCCTGCTTTAAACATCACACCAAGTCATTTCAGTTCTTTGAGCATCACCTCGGCCTGTGTATTTCATAACTGTCCCTGCACTCTTTTCAGTCTGAAGTTTATTGGCTAAAGTTTTCAACTCCTTGTGTACAGAAACCAAGTCTCAATTTCAAATAGCAATTTTGCTCAGTGACTATCTGCTAAATAAAATAGAATGCTGGATGAGAAGCTAAAAGCTTACTGATCAGTCTATATGGGATAACTGGGAGAAATAATGGTAATGTTTAGTTATTTTATTTTACTCTTATGACAAGGGGTAGGTAAGGAGTTGGTCACGGACCACCCTGTCCCTTCCCTTTATTTTAGCCAATGATTGTGAGTTCCATCTCCTATAACCAAGTTTTAGTACTCTTTCTTTGTACAACTAAGGAGAGGTAGAATATAGTAGTTTATAGCAAAGAAAAAGGCTGAAGTTTAACTACTAATTCACAATTCACTTGACAAACTTCTGATTAAATTCACACAGTCTTGCCAGGTAAATATTAAGTCATACCACGTTATTTCAAAAAGGATAAAAATACATCCATTTCTTGACAACAACCTACCTAAGCCTTTTCAGTAGTTCAACAAGTGGCATTAGGTGTTTTAGCTCACCACTATAGCTTCACGCTTTATTATGTGTTCATGCTGATGAGATTATCTATTTCAAAGAAGATAAAAAATAAGCTTACCTCCATCCTTCTTAGCAAATCACATCCATTATTCAATTATGTGTTCTTTCCTTGTGGGTACCTGAAATAATGAGAAGGAATAGAAAACGAAAATTAAATATAACTCAACAGCACTTTGTAAAAGGCAAATATTTACAATTTTAATTGATGACAGACACACACTTCATAATACTATTAGCATGCAACTCCAGCTGCAAAAACTGAACAGCAATATGCCTAAGCTGGTTAGCAGCAAAAAAGTAAACCAATCACATCGACAAAAAGCCACCATAAACAAAAAAACTGTATTTAAAAGATTAACAGTTTTGGCATTCATCCCTACCATCAAGTCTTTCACTTTCTTTTTTTCCATCAAAATTTAGCTTACGTTTGAAGTTAGCAAGAGTTGCATTACTATTATTGTTAATTTTAGTTCTGTTTATTGCCTTGAGGGTTATATAATTTCAAATAATTTTGGTGCCTCTAGTTAATGTTAATTAGTTGTTTTAATAGCCTATAGACCTATTTGTTATATTTTTGTAGGTTTACTTTTTTAACTATCAGGAACTTAATAACTGAGAATATTTAACATTACTGTTGCATAGGCAAAATTACAGAGTTACTATTAGTGTTACCTGTTTAACGTTTAGTCATCCTTTGAGTCCTGCGACATATTTCCTTAATAATCATCAGCCATCAAGTCTGATAGTCTCAAAAGAAATATCAGCCCTCTAAACTGCCTTCAAGGGCGGTGATATTTAGCACTGAAAATTACAAATAAAGTTTTTGAGGTTGAATAGCAACAACTGGCCAGTGACACTGATGATTTGTTTGTCAAAACAAATTGTTATAAACTACGCAAATGAAGTCCACGCACTCCTTTGAGTGAAAACAATAAAGTGAATCTACGCAATGCTTACATGTTGGATGGGATATTTAATGTGCGGGGAAACTCAAAGGTTGAAGAACTAGGCATTTAGACAGTGGTAAGTGGTAATCTTACCTCTTTATACTCCATTACTCTTTCTCACGAGAGACATGCTAATGCAAACAAGTCAATCAGAATTTGTGTTTAGCAAGATAAAGCTTAGAGGATAGTTTAAAATCCATTTATTATTCTAAATCCATTTTTTTCCATTAACATGTTATACATTAGTGTTTACTAACCATGATTCATGTAACAGTTTAGTTTGTTAACTTTTAAATTATTTAACAACCATAAGTTATTAATACATTTTTAAGTATTACACAAATATCTTAAAACAGGCTTGGGTTCATTTTTGTAATTTTTAAATAGAAAACAGTTTAGGCATCTCTTGAAGAAGAAATAAAGCAGGCATTTAAAGCTAGAAAACAAGTAATTCCAAATTTAGTTTTTACAAAAGTTTTCAGCTTTATTGACAAATTATGGCAAACATATTTGACAAATTGTGGTTTCCTATTTAGAGAAGCTTACACATGGAACTTTATGTGTGTGTGTTTTTTTTCTTTTTTTAACAAATACAGGTTAAAACACTGAACAAATTCAGTTAGCTACATACATACAGTAGCTGCTTGTTTTCAACCCCATTAAAACAGCATTTAAAATTAAATTTACAAACTTAATATCGAACATCTTTGTCTAACTAACAGATATTAAAAGACAGGTTAAAACATCTTATCTACAACTTTATTATCAGCTAGTTCAAAAATCATATTACAGTCTTTTAGCAACCCTAAACAAAGTTTCTGCTAGTTGGCTGAGATTCAAAATCTGTTAACAGGTTCATGCTTTTTCTCAAAAAAAAAAAAAAAAAAAAAAAAAAAAAAAAAAAAGATTACACACAACAATGAAAAACAACCAAGAGAATATCATCCTACTGAAAGGTTTATAGACTATGCTTGCCAATGTCTTTTTCAGTCTGTTTTGTAAAATAATACTAGTGTCAATGTCACACCAACAGTATAGAGGGAAATACAAGAAATATATGGGAGTAATCATGAGCAGTTATCCCTAGAATAGAAAACAACAAACAAAAAAAAAGGACTATTACTTGTCTTGTTGCTGTTTATGTGGAGACCACAGGCTATGAATTGTCTTTAAGGTGAGGTCACAGGTGGGAAGGACCTTCAATATCTACCATAGGGGTGTTCCCTGTATCCCCCTCTTGCTGACCTCGGTGGTGGTGCCTTCAAGCTAGAGCGGGTTGTGGCCCATTCTTCTGGTGCTGTGAAAAAGAGAAAGACAGTAACACACACATGACTTCACAGTTACTAAAAAATAGTCATGTAAGGCACAATAGTTGACCGAGAAAAAGAAAACAAAAGATCTCAACACTGAACGCTAAAGCCTATTTTTTCCACATCGTTAGACTATCAAAAATGTGTATATAAATGTGTACCATGTATTTATTATGTGTTAGATTTAAATGCCACAAAATAGAAGGAGGAGTATCAGTGTAAACCCCTGCCCACAAAATCTTTTTACACAGAATTCTTAAAAATAAATAAATAAATCGGATATAGTAAACCAGTAGTCCTTAGCCCTTGAATAACTTGAGAATCACCTGGAAATATTAAACAATCACAATAAAAGATAACTAATGCCTGTTCTCTGTCCCCTAAATCTACTGATTAGAAAAATCTATGGGCTGGGACCTAGGGTTTGGTATTCAGATACTCCCCAGATGATAGTTACATAGTCCAGGGTTGAGATCAATTGGGCTAAATTGTAGAGAGAAAGTGAGACATAAGCAGAAGATAGAGTAGAAAAAAAACTTAAGCAGCAAAATCAGTAAACAAAACAAAACACAAAGATATCACTTTTTCCAAGTAAACAATTCAGTAAATAAAGAAGTATTAGTACACCAAGAAATCTCCATTTACCTGCTAATTTTGGCTAGGTTCCAAAACATTGAGAGTAATAGAAATCTATTATTCCAAAAGAGCAAGAAAGAAGCAACCAAGCTTTTGAGTACTGTGGAAAATAGCTATTGTAAAAATCTGTGTCCCCAGAAAAGAAATGCAATTATTCTTTAAAAGAACTCAATGTTGGCTTTATCGTAACATTTTATATGATTCCAGCCACTAGGTTATTTTGGTCTCTCAATCAGAATTCAGTTCCTCATCAAGAGCATACTTCATGCATGGGTGTGTAAAAGGAGGTATGGACAAAGGGAAGAAGGTTACTAGAGACAGATATTGATATTGATATTGATAACTGATATATAAAATAATGGAAATATTAACTGGGAAATAATTGCAGATTGAGGTCAACTAAGGTAGGGCATTTACCCCTAGATAGTTCATCTGATCATAAGAATTAGTTGAGAAAGACTGCCAGAAAAGCATACAAAATTTCAATTGTACTCATTATGATACAGAGCAAATGAAAACAATCTACTATGTAGAAAAATGATCAAAAGGTTATCATCGTTGGGAAAAATGGCACTTAAGTGGACAAATATTAGTTTTTTGAGAATATTCTCACCAGGGAATTATTATTACAACAGATACCTGATAATAAATTTTTAAAAATCTCTTTTACTATTTAGTATTTTACTTCAGTATGTGATAGGATAAAAATAGGAGTAAGAAACGAAATGAATACGACAAATGTTGCCGTTGCTCAAAATATAGGTTTACCTGGATCAGAGGTTGGCATACTCTGGCCTGTAAACCAAATTTGGCCAGCTTATTGTTTTGTAAATAGTTTTACTGGAAGACAGGCATGCTATTTATTTACATATTGTCTATTGCTGCTTTCACGATACAAAGGAAAAGTTGAGTAATTGTGACAGAGATTATACTGCTTGAAAAGCCTAAAATATTTATACTCTGGGCTTTTGCAGAAAAGTTTTACAGATTCCTGCTCTAGACCATGTTGTTTTTGGTAGGAAAATGCAGATATTGGTCTTTCTGTTGTAATCTTTTGAAGGCAGGAATTTATCCCCAAACCGTTTGACTTTATGAACATAAAAATGAAAAGAATTCCATGTATTTGCTTGATTGGAACTAAATAAAACTGTTTTTGGTGTACTCATAGGGAAAACACATTCAGCATGTACAAGCTTGAAAGTACCTACTTAGCCTTATGTAAAACGAGTATTTACACCATGTTCATGAGATAATCCAGGCTATATCATTGTTTTTGTCTTCTGATGGTAAAATGTATCCCAATTTATTATGCGATACCAATTTATTATGGGATATTATTGGAGCAAAAAGAATGTACTACTTTTGCTCCAATTATTCTAGAGTGTTAGAAATCCCTGGGTTTCACTCTACAGGATTTAAGAGCTGAGATAATAGAGGCTTCAAGTTTTCCCAGGAAATAGAAGTCCCAGGTCCTTTTTTAGATTCTGAATGTTCCTGAAAAATAGCTGAACAATCATGAGCGGAGTGACAGAACACTTGTCACATACACTCCCAGATTTTTTCAGAATTTTAAATTGACATAAACCTAGGGACTTGCTACAGAGGACATAAGTGTTTAATAACTACTCATCAACTTGGCTTCAGCTGACTTTTTCTAAGTCTCTAGGGCAGTTAATTGATGAGCTAAAACTATTCATGTCTTAAATGTTAGCCAACATTAGAATAGGGACTGTCGCTATCCACTGTTGCTTCCCCAGTGCCTGGGAGAAATGCAATGCCTAGTTAGGGCTGAAGCAGTAAAAGGTTACATGAAAGAAAGGGTGGATGAATGAAGAAAGGAACTATGCAGAAAGTCCCAGTGATAATTCAAAAAACAGAAACAGTTGAGCTAAAGAAGTTTAACATTTGTTTTTAAAACTCTTTAATTAGAAATCTTATATATTTGTTATAGAGTTAAAAATCAGACTTCTTACTCAAAAGGGTTAGTTATCTAAGTATCAAAAATATTTCACTATTGAATTCAATGAAGTAATCGTAGTGGGATCCTGTTATAAAAAAGTAGAAAAACATCATATTTCATGGCACAAAAATGTGCTCTTTCATAATGCTGTTCTTCTATGTGAATTAATACTATGCTCTTTCCTCCTTGCTCAAGGGTAGGAAAATGGAAATTATTGTTAGTTCATGATACTTTTAACTGGAAAAGTAAATCGCCAGCCAAAGTGATTTCCTACCCAAGCGAAAGTAAGTTTCTAATTGTCCAGGATTCCATACCATTAGCAGAGGAAATTAAGGACTTATTTCACTTAATTCAGACCTTGCTTCCATTGTTTACATGTTCTTGTTAACAATAGCAAAGAGATCAGGAAAAGTATTATTTTTATTTGTGTCCATCTTTATCTTTCCTAATATCAGAATGTTTATATATAGTTACAGATTTACAATTGCCACATGATAATGCACGCCAGTTTTTCTTAGTGAAAATACGTTCTTTGGATTGCAATTGGAGAGTACTGACCCAATGAATGTTTTTCCAGTGCCACCATATAGTGCGTCATTGAACTTTATATGGTCGGCCAAGCCCCTCATTGTTCACCAGCGATATTTAGGCCTCTGGATTTCTTTACTGCCAGTACCACAGATAGAAGGGATTCTAACCTGAGTCCCATGGAATCTTGAGCATGGAAGAGGCCCAAACATAGGGAGAGACAAATCATGACTGGGTTCCTCATGATGGAGTTTCTCTGAAATCTGAAGTTATAAAGACCCACCAATGAACTTAGAATTTATCTGTCCTCTTGCGTCTCTTAGTAGACAAGAAGATTCTAAATATTTTAAGCCTTCCTACGAATTTTAGAATCCTGTTTTTTTCTAGTCCCATGGCATATTCTAAGATGTCATTTAAAAAACTCACTGTGATAGTAACAAACCTGCACGTTGTGCACATGTACCCTAGAACATAAAGTATAGTAAAATAAATAAATAAAATAATGATTAAAATTTAAAAAAACTCACTGTATCCAATGAAATTTATTTATCCTTTAGGGAAATGATAAAAGAAGTAAGATTCTGTCAATATCAGGATCACTGTCACATGAGAAGCACCAGCTAGGCTATGAATTAATCTAATAACAAATTTCTCCTCAAAAAAGGTACGAAATAACTATCTGCCAAATTAAAATTATGGAATGGGTTACATAACTGTGAATATGAAAATAGCAAATCAAGACATGAGAAACAGAAGTTAAGTGACTTGATCCAATTGCCACCCTTTCTTGGCTTCCAATTCAGGCTTTAAAGTATCATATATTATAAGACATATGAGATAAATTTATATTTATTATACGAATAATAAAGCATCACTAAATACATTTTTCATTTATTGAAGATCTCCGATATGCTAGTTACTAAACTATGCCCTGCATATAAGGACAGTTGAAGGGGCCCGTAAAAGACACAGGAAAAAAACTAACACGAAATTTCATAGATTATAACACAATTTTAATTGATGTTTTAAGAAAATGCTGGGGAAAGCACAGGGAAAGGAGGTCTAACTTTCATCATTCAGCTGAACTTGTATTGAACTCTAACATTTAATCATCTCAAAGAAGGGATTTTCTGAGCAAATATACTCAGTAAGAACACGGGTGCTGTTGAACTTATCTAAGAGAATTCACTTTCTTTAAAGACTTTCCTGTGTTAATTATTTTGTATTATCTGGCCTTGCTTCTAAACTGGACTCTAAGATCTATGAGAGGAGATATCGTCTACAGTGGTAGACACTGAATAAGAACAAATAAGAATATTTGTAAGCTGTATATAAATGAATGATGCTACTAAATAAAAAAGGGGTTTCAGACCAATTATGCAAAATAAGTAAAACAGAACTTTTCAAAAAGGCATTGTTAGCAATTAGGTTGTCATGTTGCATGTATACAGTATATGTCAATATTTCTTTCAAAAGTTCTGTTTTTTATTAACTTAGGCTGCTATTTTACCCAGCGAATCAGGTTTTACAGACTGCCTAGAGTCCATCCCTATTTCATGGTAGTCAACATCATTGAGGAACATTTGACTTTGATAGAAGAGTGTAAATTACCTAGGTAACTCTTGTGCATTCAATATTACTGTGACTTCAAAAGTTTCTGTATCTCAAATACTGTGCGAAATGAGGCCTATTAAGTGCTATGCATTTGTCAATGTGTCCTTATTTCTGCAGTGGGACCAGGTACCTCGGGGAGCATTCACAGTGGGAAAGAAAAATCTGGATGATTTTTAAAGTTGCAAAACTGCGTTCTGTGATAGTTCCAGAGATACTGAGGTAGTTGGGAAAAATATGAAGCATAGGAAC